GTTCTTATGCTTTCTCGTCTTACAGGTTCTCATTGATCCTGGTGGAGCCTCCTGCCATGGTCCTGCTTGACTCCCATTGCTAATATTACTGATATTATTGTTATTATTATTATTACTATTATTATTACCAGTTACTATTATTACTATAATCACTGCTCATTGCCCCCTTTTAAGAGGGTTTCTGCCTCTTAAAAGGAAGTTTTTCCTTGCCCCTGTTGCCAAGTACTTGCTCATAGTGGGAGCTGTTGGGTCTCTGTAAATACTTTTATAAAGGAGTATGGCCTAGACGTGCTCTATTTTGAAAAGTGTCCTGAGATAACTTCTGTTATGATTTGGCGCTATACAATTAAAATTGAATTGTTAAGATAAGGTATTGATGTTCCGAGTGTGCCACAGGGACAGAGCAACCCTCCAGGTTGGGTCACAGTGCCAGTGCTTACAGCACAGATGGATGGTCTGTGGTGTGTCCGAGAGTCTGTAAAGTGATGCTGCTTTTAAAAGGTCCCGCTGGCTCATGGAGGATGTCAGAAATCAATTTTGTTTAGCTGGGCTCTCCCTCTGTGGGGCACTGACCAGAGCTCAATCAATGGAACACAACAACCTCCTACCCAGGTGGACAAACATACAGTATTTATTAGGTCCTCTCTACAATATATGATATTGATTTCCATATCCTCAGCTCTGTTGTATGTTATTGTGTCCGGGGGAGTTGCTGGATTATCAGTTTGTGTGTTGGTATTTTTGAGGAAGAAACCCCTGGCTGAGTGAAGGGATTGGCATAACAGGTGACATTCAGCGTTGGTGCGTGATTGGAAATGGTGATGGTCACTTTGCACTGAATGTGATGACCCGAGTGGAGGTATGTTAGCACTGGGCAGCAACCAGCAGAAGCTCCCCCTCTCTCCCTTCTAATGGAGGACCTTCCTAAAGTTACATAAACTTGTGACTACCTTCATACAGCAGCAAAATCACCTCCATCCCATCTGACAGAGTGGAGTTGCATTTGTAGGATCGTCAAATTATACTGGGTGAGAGGAGAAGAACAAACCACACAGTGATAGTTCCTGCTACCTTCAGCGGCTGCTGGCAGGGTGGGACAGCTACAAGGCTGGAGTCACTGAGCATACCTTGAGAGTGCCTGCAGGTGGGTAACTACGCCAATTATGTTATCCCCATTTCTGTCTGATCTGGGCTATAAATAACATAAGAGAGCGATATGTGTGTAATCTTTTCATCTCCAGCAGACGATTAGAAAACATCCCAGAAGGCAAACGTGTCACTTAATCAGCAAGCACTGACGAAAAGGTGCTTCCAAAAACAGTCCTGTCAAAATCTCTATACTGTCAGGAGAATGTTTACAACTGAAAACTGAAAACAGAATTTAAATTGATCTAAAAACTAGTGAAGTGGTGATTAATAAGCAGACCTTTATTGTTGAATTGACAAAAGAAAGACTGGAGTGAAGGGGAAAACTGGTTCATCACTGTGTAGTAAACCTACTGTATGAGTTTCAATGGTTATAAATTCTAAAGTTCACTGATGGTTAAGTTTCATTCTTTACTACCAGCTTTGCTATCCCGGAAAATAAGGGAAGCAGATGAGGAAAAATAAGTATTATTCCTTGTAACATACAATTTATAATTAGCAATCAAGCTATTCAAATAGGTCATAGAGCCAGACAGACAAACAGACAGATAGACATCTAGATAATATGAAGTTCTCCCATAACACAGTTAAAACACAGATTAATGTGAGCATGTTGATGGGTCTGTAGTGACCTCTGCTGGTGCAAAACATCATTACATCACTCTAATAGGTTGTCATTGAAGATCCACTCAATATCCACATACTTCCTATTCCAGAGGAAACAGAAAAACTGTGACAAAAGTACTTGACCTGCCATATTTACAACATAAGCAAACTGTAACTGTAACTGACTGTGACTGTAGTTGAACACTGCGGCTACCTTAGTTTCACTCTCTCAATGGAGCTTGCTCTGGTGTAAAAACATCAGTCTCATGATACCAATGGTGAAGACCTGAACAGAAACTATAGCCTCAACAGCCATGTCCTGCATTATAAAAGTACGCAGTTAAAACAACCAACGAGCTAATAGAACAATGGACCTCATGCAAGATCTTTTTTTTTTTACTCCTATCTTACTTTTCTTTGGTATGGTGGGTTCATACAGATGTGGCACGTCAGCTTCAGCAACACTTCTAACTTCAGATATTTCTGTTTAAAAATTATGAATGCCAACTGTGCATAATGGAGCACACATTTACACACACACACACACACTTTACTATTCAGCAAGATTTTTTTTTTTAAATTGTGTTTGTGCCTAAGAGAAAACTGGTGAATGCTGCACGTTCCCCTAAATCAGCCATACAACCCACCTTAGAATGAATATGTTTGTACAAATGGTTTCTGCATGAGTCAAAAAAGGCTTAAAAAGACATTTTTCATTAAGTCCAAAATAAGAGTCAGGGTGAATTATTTAGCTATTCATTTACAGACCAACAGCAATGGTTAAAACCAACAGTTACAATATTGTGTGACGCAGCTTCCGTGCCAGTTGACCTCTACACACTCATTTCACTGCTGTCTGACAGTTTGAGCTGGTGTCTGACAGAAAGCAAAGGAGGAAGAGAGCAGCTTACCTGTGAGCTTGTTGTGGCTGAGGACCAGTTGAGTGATGTTAGACAGAGTGACTGAAATGACATGGAGCATCAAGTCAACACAGCACTGCAACTGACTCAGTTTGTTAACACATGGATTTTACTGGTACATCAAATATTAATAGGACTGTAATATACTTGCAGTAAAGTTATTAATGTAATAGAGTGCTGCAGGAATGAGTCCTAAAACCCAGAACTGAGTTAGCATTTTAGCACCTCCAGATCCCTTGCCGCAAAGTCAGTGGGTTTTTGGTTCTATACCAAAAGGTCTGTGGTGAACACAAGAGTAAGAGATTTTCACACATGTTCTTTTTAAATGAGGCCCATATCGGATTGCAGTGTAAAAAGGTCACGGTCCTGTAGTAAGTACCTGCAAGACGAATGTAAGTCTAGAGTCATGTAAAAGTCTCATGCATTCTGACTGTTCACACTGAGGTCACATTGCAAAAACTCGAAATATACTTCCTATACTAGGACTTCCTTCAAGGGAAATGTGTTTTAAAACAGTGAAATAAATTACTTGCAGTATAATACGTTGAAGTAGGAGACATCTTGTGTCCAGCCGGAAAACTTCAAAAATGAAATGTTCATAGATTCTCGATTCTTGTTCATTTTAATGTGGAAATTACACTATTTTTGTGTAGGAAACACAATCAGACACATTTATTTTGGCCAGGCTATTTGTATATACAGTATGTATTTATACATATCTGGAAGGATAAGCATTTTCTAAATGTTTATGCCTTTGTATGAAGCCTGTGTTTGTGTCATGTTGAAGGTGATGCCACAGTATTTTCACACAGCATTACTATGATGATCAACTAAGAATCTCGCCTACATTACAGGGATTCTATCTGCAGTGGAAAATTAAATCGAGAAAAGTACCTGGTACCACAGACGAGTCAGGTCAAGACGAGCTTTACCATGCAGTGGAAATGAGGCTATAGTTGCAGCAGACTTTAGGACAAAGGTGGCCCTAACCACTGGTGAATTTTTCTGGCAATTTGGCAAATGTCTAATAGGTCTAATATGGCTGGCTTATTAAGCACACATTAAAAGGGACACAAAAATTAGACATAGAAAGGCAGAGTTAAATCCAAACACAGCACAGTTTTATAATTAATGTTTATGTGTAGTACTGTATCCAATATTAGAATATTTCATTAGTCACTTTCTTACAAATTGCTTTTTAACTAACCTTTTAATGACTAATGACTATGCTATGTTAAAGGATCTATCAGCAGTAATAGGATATACTATTCATAGGTATGTTTTCATTATAATCACCTGAAAATGACGTGGCAGAAGTGGCAGTAACCATGTTAAATCACTATGATTCTACAGTAGCCCAGAAGGAGTGCTTAGAAAAGTGCAAGGAAAAACAAGTGAGTTGCAATTTACAACTACACCACTAGATGCCACTAAACCCTTAACTTTTAAAGGAAAAGCCCCATGGAATTTGACGAATGACAAATTTTGATTGCTTAATTGGACAAAGTTGATTTTGTCAATATATGTATTTATAAAAACATCAAGATGTTTAATAATACTTACACTGGAACAAGGCACATATTATACCATTGAGGTTGTTCTGAATCCAATGGTACCAAGCATGTAATATTACTCTGTAAAGTTCTTGAGATACAACCATTTACAGTATCACACTGTATTAACTTGTTAGTCATTAAATGGTAAATGGACCTGT